CGCTAGAGACATTGGGCCGGTGAATGTCCGCTGAATTGTCCCACGGCAAAGTGGAGTCAATTTGTGGATAACCCCACGGGATAAGTTCCGTGATTTCGGCCCGCATCATGATTGCAGATACGAGGAACGCTCCTGGAGTTGCTAGAACACGTGCCACTTGAGTTTTCAAGGCTTTGTCAAAAATCCCACTATTGTCTTGTATTTCTTGATGACTTTACCAAAGCGAGAGGACTTCTTTACATGACAAAAATGTGATGTTAAAGATCTTATTATCTTCCAGGAGCCACATTTTAAAGTAACCCGGAACTTGCCGAACACAAATATCAGCAATTTGTTTAAATTGTATAAATCACTCAAGTTTGAAATGCAAGTAGTATAGCTTCTTATGAGTAGCCAAGTGAGAATGTTACTAAATAACCCAGTCAATATAAACTCAATATCACTGCAAAAATAACCACTCTGGCATCAACATTTACAAATGTAACATTAATCCATACAGAATAAGTTACGGGCAGTATTCAACACAAGATACCGAGTGCTTGCATGTGAACTCCACACTGAGCGGCCTGGTCCCTCTGCACCAGTCTCTGGCTTAGTTAAGGCGAAGTCACTGCCATGACAACAACACAGAGTGAGTCCAGACACCAGGGCCCCCCCTCACCAGGGCCCCCCCTCACCAGGGCCCCCCTCACCAGGGCCCCCCTCACCAGGGCCCCCCCTCACCAGGGCCCCCCCTCACCAGGGCCCCCCTCACCAGGGCCCCCCTCACCAGGGCCCCCCTCACCAGGGCCCCCTCACCAGGGCCCCCCCTCACCAGGGCCCAGCTCACCAGGGCTGTGGATGTTCTCTGGTAGAAACGGCCGCTACTTTCAGAACCGTTTCTGCCGTCCACTGAAAACCCCGTTGGGAAACCACAATGTGCAGCATGGTGGCATCCGAGGGGTGGAATGGCTGTGAACTTTTCGTGACAAAGTCTACGTCACGTACAATCATTCTTATGTACAAGAGGCAGATCTAAATTAAGTTATTTTAAAGAGACGATTGTGGTGTTTGCGGAGATTACGTAGTTAATCGCAGACAGTGCAGATTAGATGAGACGTGAACAAGGGGAGGGAATCGGAGGAGATGGCTAAAGGGAAGGATTTGTAGCGGCGAGGAAAGAGGCTGCAGAAGAGACGGCTGTGGAGCGGAGAGCGTGGCGAGCAGAGAGAATGGTGAGCGGAGAGGATCCAGCGGAGATGATGACTTCAGGGACCTGCAAATGGTAAAAACCACGCAGGATCGTGACCATACTCAGGACAGTTTGTGAGAGGGGTTGACGTTGAATTCGAGTGGCTGAAGGATGGTGAAGGCATGCGTGTTGTGGCTCTCTGTTGGGTTCAGGCGAGAATCTAAGAAGCAACATTATCGACGTCTGAAACTTGAATGTGAGGATTTCATGAGGCCATAACTAATGCAAATGTCGAGGTTATGAATCCGTCCGGTAATGAGTTGAGGTAGCGACGAATGTAAGAAATGTTATGCACGTGGAGGGAGACCGTTCAGCGTCGCGTGATTCCCGTGATCCAGGATCGCAGCACGGCCTGGAGGTTTGAATTGTGGAGGGCAAAGCGAGAGCCTCCCTCCCTCCCTCCAATGGGGACTCTCCAGCAGGACTGTCGGGCGAGTCAAAGGTCACGGCGGGTCCCCACGGGGCGGTGTCGCACTGCTGCTGCCACCTGTCGGGGTTTGACTTGGACAGAATGGAAATTGGCATCTGTGTTCGGGTGGCAGGGACTGATTTGTACTAAGATCTCTCCCGGTATTGTGTTCAGTTGAACTTCAGTAGACTGAGAAATGTCCCGGTTTGGCCTCGTGGGAGAGGTGAAAACCCTGAACTGGGCTGAGTCAACCCAGAAGGGGGACGCGAACTCCCCTGGGCGCTGTGACTGCAAGCCAGGCCACACTCCACTCAGCGTTACACTCCGCTTACTCCCTACACTGGCATGGCGCCACCATGCCATCTGCGGTTATTCACACGTTTCACACTCCACCACTGCTGGGCTACTTCCTCTAATCTGTTGGCAAGTGTGGAAAATCATTCACGCGTCTCGCGGCAAGATCAGCGACTCGATTTGTGGGCGCAAGGAAGAGCGGATAATGTGAGGGCAGATGGGAGGAGTTTGCCGCGTTTGAGGATGTCGGCACAGCCCCGCGAAGGAAGCCACGGCTCTGAGACGAGAGCTGAGAGCTTAGAGAGCGAGAGGAAGGGTAGAGGCGGCAGAGATGCGGACTGGCATGCGAGGAATGACCATGGATGTTGAAGCCACAGGTGAATGTTCCTCATGGTGAAATTGCAAAATATCATCGTGATCCGGACGTCTTTGAAGCAACCTGCACGATAGGCGTCGGATTGCATTGCCGTGCCCAGGGCATCGCAAGATGTGAAACGCGACTCATCCCTACGATTGCATAAAATAAGAATTGTCTGCAAAGTGCCAACACGTCAGCTGTCAACACAACAAGCCGTGACCCCGTGGGTGAAATGTAAAATGTCAGTCGACTTTGTACATGCGGTATTAATCACAGAGCTAAACCAGTGCCTACCAATCATGTCTCACCAACCTCCCTTTTAATAGAATGTTAACAATATTAGACTTCATATCTATATGGCTGATGTATTTTTGAACTGGAGGAATTACGGCTTTATATACAGTACGTTTATGCGTGTGGTAAAAAAATACGTTTAAAAGCAGATAAATTCCTTATTTATATGCGAATGAGGTGTTATTTTAAATAATATATTAATGCCTGCATAATCTTGAAATCTGTGAAATTATAAGTGCCATATAGTGTAAGTAAGAAGACAGATGATAGATACTGCACATACACTGCACAAACGTCATTCCCGGAAAAATGTGCAATTGTAAGTAAACAAATGTGAAGTAAATGTACATTTACTTTGAGTTTTTGTAATCGGTTAACTGCAGAGGCAAAGATTCATGATAAGCCACGTGTACAGTACACTAAATAATCATTAGCGCCGCTGTGGAGCATGTAACAAAATAGAATTTCTGCAGGACGCAGATTTGCGTCGAACTCGAGGCTCCATCGGGGCCCCTTGCTGACGACGATCGGGCAGCTCACCAAAGTTGGTGAAGCCTCGTTGCCGATGAGCCACTGGGCGTCGAAACCAATCCAGAGTTGTCTTGCGTGGAAGCTGTGCACCTGCAGAAGGTCGTGATGGGATGTGTGAAGCATGCCTACATTGTTGACATGGAGGGACAGATGTGCGAGGCAGGCAAACCGCCTGCCTCTTCATGCGAGCACAGCACAGCCCCGAGAAGTCAAGTCATGTGGGGAAGAGCACAATGTTCACGTTGCTAGGAACTCTAAAGATAATTGAACCTCATGGCGGGACCCGGGGTCCCATAAGCCCCCGGCTCTCGCATCAACATGATATTAGAATGTAAACAAAAACTAACAGATCAGAAGTGGATCCGAGTGATGCACGAGGCTGAGACAGATCAGAAGTGGATCCGAGTGATGCACGAGATTGAGACAGATCAGAAATGGATCCCAGTGATGCACGAGGAGGTTGAGACAGATCAGGAATGGATCCGAGTGATACACGAGGTTGAGACAGATCAGAAGTGGATCCGAGTGATGCACGAGGAGGCTGAGACAGATCAGAAGTGGATCCGAGTGATGCACGTGGTTGAGACAGATCTCGACGCGTGTCTATAATGTAGCAGCACAGACGTCTTTCTCGACAGGAGTCCATCCCAGGCGACGGGAGAGAATTACGAGTTGTGGATTCTGTGAAGAGTCTTGCTTATGGCTTTTACATTTGTGCTGTTGAGGTCTTGCAACTCGCCCTGCACATTTAACTGTTAATTGTTCAGTAACAATCATCAGCGGGTGATGATGACAAATCACTCGTTCCGTGTAAAGCGAACGCGAGTGCGCTGCGCTTGTGTGGGACACGAGGCACCCCCCTCAACAGCCTCACGACATGAAACATCATCCTCCCGGATTGGAGGCATGGTTTAAACACGAGGCCTTTTCATCCGCAAGGGGACATCGCTTTCTGTTAACGTGTATTCCTTAATAACTGCCAACGTCTTGAAAATGTAGTTGTCGTTTAGAAGTTATATATAGGTTCACATCTTGAAGGTAAAATAATAAAAAAAATATAGAGATAGGATGCAGAGCACTTGTGCATTAAGCACCGCGTGTGTAATCACGTAATAAAATACCCCCATCGATTACCGCCGCCTGGCTTGCTCTGTCACGCGTGAGTGCACACAGCCCAATACAGATCATCTTCACTGAAACTTAGCTCAACCACTCACTGTTAAATGGCCTGACGATAACAACTTCCTTTCTGATGAGTATGACACAGGGCCGCTGGGAGTTTTCACCTCTGCCCCGACTCTTCCCCACGACCACGCTGCCTCTCAACGCCAGCTCATCATCAGTCTCACCCACCCTCCCTTCACCACCACTCTCACCCACCCTCCCTTCACCACCACTCCCACCCACCCTCCCTTCACCACCACTCCCACCCACCCTCCCTTCACCACCACTCTCACCCACCCTCCCTTCACCACCACTCTCACCCACCCTCCCTTCACCACCACTCCCACCCACCCTCCATTCACCACCACTCCCACCCACCCTCCCTTCACCACCACTCTCACCCACCCTCCCTTCACCACCACTCTCACCCACCCTCCCTTCACCACCACTCCCACCCACCCTCCATTCACCACCACTCCCACCCACCCTCCCTTCACCACCACTCTCACCCACCCTCCCTTCACCACCACTCCCACCCACCCTCCCTTCACCACCACTCCCACCCACCCTCCCTTCACCACCACTCTCACCCACCCTCCCTTCACTACCACTCTCACCCACCCTCCCTTCACCACCACTCCCACCCAGCATCCCTTCACCACCACTCCCACCCACCTTCCCTTCACCACCACTCCCACCCACCCTCCCTTCACCACCACTCTCACCCACCATGCGCCCTGCCCGGACCCACTCACCTGCTGGCTATTACAATGATTGTTGTTTTATCATCTCAGTCACCACTGTGTGTGTGTGCAGTCTAAGAGCTAACGGTGAGTGGAGCGCCTGCTCGTCCACGGCTGGGCATGCTGTGGGTGAGAGAAGATTTGCAGAAGCGATGGAGCTGAGATTTTAAGTTCAAATGTGGGCAGCCGCCTCTGATTAAACTGGGACGTCAAATGTCATGCATTAATGTCCCTAGTCACCAATCACTGCAGAAACAAAAGGCTCACATTAAAGTTGCTTCTACACTTAATTTGGCTAAATTGCATCTCGAAGAATGATAAATATTGGGTTGGTGGTGATGCATTGTGGATGTAAGAGCAGCGGGGCAGGGTGACGGCCGATTGGGCCTGGCGTTGTAAGGCCGACCTGGCTGCCACAACTGTCCACCTCATCTCACATTGCCAACAGACCTTGCCTTTTGAAATGGTTATGTGGAGTTTAAACTAAACAGTACGTCTTATACACGCCATATTACAAATATCACACATTCCACTTGGTTAAAAACCAAAGTACCAATACTGCATATCGTATACTGCGAGGCAGTGTTAATATCACGGTGCCAAATGGTAACTTTAAATCTGTGAAATCGATTTAATAATAATTTCTGGGCCATGCACTACACATTTAAGTGGCTTCGAGTGACATATTTTGTTGAGAATCTGCTGCTACTTGCAATATCCCACAAGTAGCCGCCGTGTTCGAGACAAACACGCGTCCACCGAACAGGTCCACAGACCGCGTTGCTTGTGCCGCACAAGCACAAAAACACTCGCAACAATCATCGTTAACACTGTGCTATCGCAGCCTGACGTTTCAGACAATGGCCCTTCTTCAGTGGGAGAGGGCGGGGAGAGTGTGACTGTCCGATCGTTGGAGATTACGAGTTATACTCTGGGGGCCTGAGAATATTTGAAATGATAACTGGTGAGCAGTGTTGACGAGGAGTGAAGCCTCTTGAAGACAGACTCCAGGAAGACAGAGAGGCTGCCGGACAAAACCATCGCGAAAATGACCTCAAAAAGTTCGATGTGGCAATTAATCTGTGTGGAGCTCGTTCCCAGAAGAATTCGGGACTCTCAGTGGCTTGATTCTTTAGGTCCCATCTTAAAACAGATTTGTTTTCACCTGCATATCCCCCGCGTAGGTGGAGTATCTTTTTGCACTTTTATCCTTTTCAGTTCTATGCCGCTACACCTGTTCAGGGCTGTTAAGGGGTGAGCTGTGTATGTGGAGCGCTGCGGGGCCCCGGGTGTGAATGGCCTCGTGAGTAATCGAGTTGTTAGTTTAGTTAGCAATCTACAAAACTGCAAAGCATGAAACAGCAGAGAGAGAGAGCCATGGGGCTACTCCGAGTTTCTTTAAGAGAGTAACTCGTCGTTTGTTCTGTCGCGACACTAACATGTAGAGTGCGCTGCCATGTACTGCACACAGATCCCTGGCGCTCCGTATTCACGGCTGATATGGCTGTAGGTGCCATGTACAAGTGGACAATGCTATTGGCTCTTGTGCAACTACATACATTGACATTGGCACACTGGTGCCAATGACTCGACAGCAAATTCTACAAACGGAAACTAACTTTAACTGTTTTAAGAGGGGGAGTTTGTGGATACTTTATGTCGATGATTGCAAAAGGTGTTATGCATTTCCACTGCGACAATACAGTAACTGGCCCCCAATGGCCAATTAGACAGGACGCGGTGCTTTAGAGGGCCCTGTGTTTTTCGCATTTGTTGTAGAGTGCAGAAGAAAGTGTTTAAATTTCATCGTGCCACTGCACCATCATTTACAAGCGGACTACATTAACAAAACAATGGTAGGTTAAAAAGAGAGCCTCTTTTAACCGCAATGTGCGGATGTGACTGAATCCGTTTAACCTCAACGTGCTGACCCAGTTCTAACGCCACGTGTGATTTCGGGGACGGTGGAGGGCGATGACCGGCTGGGAGACAGCGGCCCCAACTCGCAACAGCCAACAAGTTCGTGGCCAGTCCCAGGAAACTTATCTCGTCACTTTTTGTCGATCTCATTCCCCGGCGGGATGTGAGTTTGGCTGCACGCTTACCGACGGACAGAACGGCTCACAGCGGTCGGCGACCACACAACACGACGCTTGCCCGGTGTCACCTACGACGTGGCCATCGAGAGGCAAGCGGGTCGGTGACGAGTTCACCCAGTCGTACAGTCGCATCAGCATTCTCTTCTCACATTACCTTCAGATTCAACAATTATCTTCACAAATAACAAATCACGTCCAGACTGTCAACCCCCTGCTGGATGAAGGCTTCCCCGCACCTTGCTGCTCATGGTTCTTGTTTACCTCACCAGCGCTTCCGCACCTCGTAGCAGCGACGCGAAGCGGAACACTCGCGTTGACCATTCCTTAACAACCCCCCGCGGAGTGTGCTTTGTAGTGAAACACGTTTACTGTATATACAAAACATATAAATGGCAAGGTTAAAAAATATCCCGTTCAGCCTCATGAGTGCCCGAACCTGTGCTTCTCATTAGAGTTGTGCTGTACAAATCTCACGGGACCATCCACAGTGCAGCTGTAAAGCCATCACCACATCTGAGGATGATTCTATTTTATAGTTAGTAGGGAGAGTGAGTTGAAGTTAAAAATGGTTTCACAAATGTGACTAATGATAGGCCTGTACTAGGATTACCAACACACCTTAGAGCCTAAAACTTGTTCCACGTGCTTACGAGTTCCTGGTGAATGCCTCCTCTCTCGTCTCAAGAGACTACTCGAGCGGGCCCGGCCTTCTACATTTCTCAGGCTCCACACTGCATCTCTGACCATCAACACTGCATTTATGTCTAAGGGCGGTTAAATGCTATTTTTCAACCACACGTTGATGTGATGGAATGGAGCTTCGTCACAAGCAATGTTAGGGTTGGTGTGATGACTGGCACACGCCTTCTGTTCGACTTACGCTGCTCCTGATAACCACTGCGGGCTCCAAATGTCGATCAGTCTTTGTAGCCCCTGGAAGAAGACGTTCCTTTGTAGAATACATTCCGCGTGTTCTCCAGGTTGTTGGATCGCTCTGGCACGAGGATGGTCGAAGGCTTCCTGCGCAGAGTAGAGTCACGGCTGGAGGAAAGGGACAGAGGCTCCGGCGGCGCCAGTTCACTCAGCTCGCCGAGGGCCACCTTGGTTCCCAGCGCCGGGACCGCGTTCACACCGGAGGGGCTGCTGTAGGGCACCTCGTCCATGTCCGAGTTGCTGTGCGAATGCGGAGTGGGCATTCTTTCCTCATCGCCGGGCTCCATGTGACGACCGAGATCATTCAGCTCGTACGATTCAGGGTCCTGCGGGGAAGGCTTCCATTTCCAGGAGCTTGTGACGCCGTCATTCGCAGAAACGTGAACGAGCGACCGGGCCCGGTCCCCCCCATCACCGACGGCAGACGTGGACGCCAAAGGCGCCGCCGCCGCTCCGATCGGAAGCTGCTCGGGCAGATTCTTGTAGCGCACGGGCCCCCCCGCGCAGCCCACGGGAGCGGGGTCCGCTGCCTGCTTGGCCTTGGCCTGCAGGAGGCCCTGCTGCTTGGACATGTTGATGACCTGGATGAGACGAGGTTGGCCGCTTTGCGTGCCGCGCTTTGCGCCGCCCTTCTCTGCCATCATCAGCCACTTGGCCCGGGCCGAGCTGCCCTTGGGGGAGGTGTGGGGGCTCACCGGCGTCTCTTCGGGGATGTGCACCAGCTGCTGCTGCTGCTGCTGCTGCTGCTGGGCCAAAGCGGCCGCCACCGCGGGACCCCCGCCGCTGGCCTGCACGTTCAGGTACACGCCGGTCTTGGGCGCCACGTCCGCGACCCCCATCGTCAGGCACGGGTGCTCGGAGGAAGTCCGCACGTCGAACGCCCTCTGCGCCTCCGCCGCGCAGTCCTCCTGCTGCTGCTGCCTCGTCGGCACTTTGGAACCCTCCGCCTTGGGCCTCCAGGGGTCGACCTTCTGCTTGGCCCGGCCGGGGTCGGTGGCGGCGTGCACCACGACGTGACGCCGCGCGACGTCCTCGACGCCGGCCGCCGCGGGCGGCTGGGCGCTGGCCCTGGGCAGCGTGTTGCTGAAGGTCACCATGCTCTCCTTGCCCATGGGGTGGCGCGTGGGCAGGATCTCCATGTCCTCGCTGCTGCCGCTCGCGCGGTGGTTGAGCGCCCGCACGGAGGCGTTCTCGCTGTGGCTGCGGCTCAGCGTGACGTCCGGCTGGCGACGGGCCGCCTCCGAGTCACTGCCCAAGCCATTCATGCCCGAATCCTGGCGATGCAGGCTCATCTTGCGGCCTAGCTTTGACGAGACGTTGCGGTTTTGTGCTTCCTTCAGCCGCGCCTGGTAATGCAGTTTCCTCTCCTTCATTTCAAAGTTATCCACCGCGTGATATCCCTGGAAAAAGCAACGCAATACAAGCAAATATAACACCGAACTTTGTTATAACGCTGTTCTTAAGCGATTCAATTATTACAATGAGTGATAAAGTCCAGGCAGGTGGCTCAGTAGTAGAGCGAGTGGCTCATAATCAGAAGGTTTCGAGTTCAAATCCTGTTGGAGTCGATAAAATATCCACCACTTCGTGGGAGACATCATTATTGGTTGTGCCAGGGACAAGCTCTCCTGCTCTAGGAATGTGGAGGACGGAGGAGGCAGGAGGAGGAGGGAGGAGGAGGAGGGAGCGTGGGCGACGCACCAGGTACCAGGCGATGGCGGTGCCCAGCAGGAAGCCGGCGTAGACGTCCCCAGGGTGGCTCTTGTGCTGCACAACGCGCGTGAGGCCGCACACGCCGGCGCTCAGCTCGAATGCGAACACGAGCAGCGGCTTGAGCAGCTTGCTGGAGTTGCTCACCACCGAGTTGAAGTAGATCTGCCGTGGAGCACGTAGCGGACACCGCGACACGTTCGCACCAAACGTTTACGCTCGCGTCATGCACACCCAACGGCGGGGGAGCACGCAAACTCCGAGAGACAAAGATCCCCCGTGTAGCCTTAAGAGACTGTTGGGGCAAGCGCAGTCAGCGAGCACCTGTGAAGCCGGCATGGCACACGGGGGGGTGGGTCGCCAGTACCACGCCCGGCCGCCTTCGTCTCCCCAATTCTGATGTGTACACACTGCACCTGGTACTCGTTCAAGGCGGAGTCAACCTAGGGAAGGCCCTGGTTTACATATTAGTTGTCACTGTTATTGGTCATGAGCGGGAATTGAACCTCAGGTGGCTGGGTTCATCCGCAGCACACTAAACCGTTATGCTACACTAGAAACGCCACACAGTGCAGAATAAGGGGATAACATACAAACTCATAACAGAAAGGCACCCAAGTCAGGAATCGAACCCAGCTCCTGGGATTAATTCCCTAACCCAGCTAGCTGATGCACTGGCTACCAAACGTACAGATTGCCACATGAAAAAAAATTGCATTGTAGAAAATATCAGCGTGAAAAGAACTCAGCAATAGGGCTTGGTCAAGAAAGTGGAATATTAAACTGGAAATTAAATCACAAGAATATTGTTCTTGTTATAATAATTACAACAGATTACGTTTTGTGGCCATTTAAAAATGTTTCCTATGTTTTCCTACCTCCATTTTCATAACAAAAAAAAATACATAAAAATTTCCACGGGTAATCTTAAAATGTATAAAAAATTCCAGGAGCGAGGTGAGGAAAGGAACTTACAGAAATGTAGATGGCGGCAAAGGCAGCGATGGTCGCGTGCTCCGATGGGAACGTCTTCCTGTGAACGACACATTCCGGGTTGGCCGTTAACAACGCGGGGTTAGGCAATCCCTCCTGGAAACATCACGAACGATCGCCTGGCATTGAACATTCGTCACCCTCCGGCGTGCGGATATCGCCCCATCACTCACCAACGAAAACTCACACCCAGAATCTGTGTCTTCGTGTGGCTGATGCTGATGTAGAGCAACAACTGAAATTTTACTCTGAGGTGGTTGAGCAGTGTAAATGGGTACCCGACAGTCCATCCACAGGTGGTGTGCGGTGGGGTAAAGTGTGGGTACTCCCACTTCTTCCAAGGCGTCTGCTCGGTGTGCAAGAGTCAAACAAGATACCCTGTCTAGAGCTCCCTCTCGAGGTGGCCCTTCTGCTAGCGGTGGCATTAATCGAGCCATTTCAGCGCTGCACTTTACTTATCTGCAGCGTAAGCGGCGCTCCGTTTACGGTTGATCTCCCCAGGGTTCCGCACGATCCCCAAGACGCGAGGATCAGTTTCATAGAAGTCGTGAAGCGGTCGAACGGACGGCTGGACGGGTTAAACACTGCACAGCTGCCCGATGTTTGTTCGGGTCGTTTGACACGATCTCGATGACGTTTCTCCCTTTTGGCTGCCAACGCGTGGAGCGCAACACCTTCCGCTGAAAAAGCTCCCAGCACACGTTGGCGAAATGCCGGACGACGCGCGGCACGATCCGTAGACGCAAGGGAGGGTCACTCGCTCGCGCGTCGTGGGGCGTCGTGGTGTGGCGTGGTGCGTCGTGGGGCGTCGTGGTGCGGCGTGGTGCGGCGTGGTGCGGCGTGGGGTGGCATGGTGCGGCGTGGTGCGTCGTGGGGCGTCGTGGTGTGGCGTGGTGCGTCGTGGGGCGTCGTGGTGCGGCGTGGTGCGGCGTGGGGTGGCATGGTGCGTCGTGGTGCGGCGCGCGGGGGCGTGGACGTCACCTGCCGGCGCTGATGGCGTTGGCGTCCTGGCCCGTGCAGATGTCCTGCATGACGTAGGGGCTCTCGTCGCAGCTCGTGTTGAGCAGCGTGTAGTTGGGCTTGCACACCGTGAGGAAGTACGGCGCGTGGAACCCCGTGGACAGCTGCAGGATGTCGGCCACGAGCAGCGCCGCGCACAGCCCGAACACGTGCACTCCTGCCCGCCGGGGCCACACACAGAATCGTCGCACGGGAGCCGGGCGAGGAGTCATCGGTCATTCTTGGGTTAGGCCACGTGGAACGATCCGGCCAAATTATTGTCGGGTAACCCTCCACCAAGAGCCACACAAATTCAATCGTCACGCACGTGAGCGTTTAACAAAGCGCACATTCTTACTATCTCAGCTCGCTGCTAAGTTGAAGAATAATTATAAAAAAAAAATGTTGCGATAGATAAGATGTTTCACTTTAAACATCATAAAGCATCTTTAGGTCATACAATCAGCAGGGTGAGATGGAGCTACTGTATTGATGAATGAAATAGGCCTAATGCAACAGTAATGGCTGTCAGCCAAGAATATCTGAATGTAGTGAGCAATTCAAGAGGCTTCAAATTAACTTTTTTCCAACAGGTGTTTTCTTTACCGTTATGAATAACTCGAATACACCACAGATAACAGGTAGAGGGAGATGTGGCTCTTTGTTCGTGTTGGCATTAGGGTCTCATTAGGTCTTCTGTTTTATATTGGCAAAGGTGCAGCCCTGCAACATTTTGCTGGTTCATAGTGAGGTCCACACTTAAACAACGCCGCACGGGTACTTCGTGCCACTGTCGTACCCACGAAGCGGACGGCACGACGCAGGTACGAGCTGAAGTTGCAGCCGATGACGGCTCCACTGGCGTCGACCGACGAACCTTGCCGCCTGCACAGGCAGCAGAAGACAATCCCCTCTCCAATCATGATCTGTAAACCACAGGGAAAGCAGAGGATCGTTTCCACAGCTGCTCTGGAGTCGGCAGGCCCCATTTACTGAGAACCTGAGCCGTGTTTCGTGGGTGCACTGTCCAAGTTCTGCCTATTCTCATCAGGATAAATACCGCCGCACGGAACCTGCCCATCGACCGACCGCGGATCGAACCCATTTATACTGCACGGTGGACGAAGGGTGGCGGATTTAATAAATGTAGCCATCGATTCAACCGCCGCGCCAGGAGATGGAACCAGTGACCTCTGGATTGCGAGTCCGGTGTGCTGACCGTCACGCCGCCACTGCGGTGGCAGCGTCTCGCTACAACCACAAACAAATCTTCACGATTTCCCACAGAGAGAAGGAAACGCTGCCTCTTGCGAGCAGACGCGGCAGAAAATAATGAAAACTGTGCTGACGCGGTTTTTCCAATGGGCAGTTCCACGTGGGTGCAGCTGGGCGCAAGCGACGCGCATTTGCATTTTAGCCCAGGCACCTCATTTGCATTGGCACATGCGCTGGCATGCCTACCGTGTTCATTAGCCCACGCCAAAACTGCACAGTGCACACATCTGTACTGCAAGCTCGTGCAGGCCAAGTGCAGACAGATTGCAACCAAGTGCTAGACGTCGTCCAACCAGGAATCGTTGCTGTATATTTTTTGCAATACTTGAAACGTACTAAGAACCATTCGTTCACCTCTGCATCGGCCCAGTGATTTGATGAGTTGTCTCAACCTGGGGGTTGCGCTGCAAGGCTCAGATCCTTTTGTCTCGACTTCATGGTCACATCGATTCCGTTTCACATTTTTGTATAATTTGTACAGTTTTATCCACCCCATTAACTTCAATACCCTCATTAGCATCCAATCTGCATTTACTATTCATCACGATCTGTTCACGATGTGACGGTGATGATTAAGGAAATATTACTATTTTACTAATTACTATTTTTTATTCACTAGGAAATAAGGCCCACTGAGCTATATAGCCCAGAAGATGAACACAAAATTTAGCAGTCTTTTGAAATACGTGGTTAACCAGGTTAGTGTCTAACTGTGCTGTTGGCCGAATGGTTTGCATCGCATTATATTTCTAAGGTTTGCTGAGTTCGCGTCTCCCATCGTCTTGCTGTATTTGCCTCCGTGCAGTTTGCTGTTCTCTGTGTGCTCTGTGTGTGATGTCCCTCTGTGTGTTCCCTCGCTGTGTGTTTTACCCCATTTACACCTGATGATGAGCGCTTGTGTTGCGTTTGAAACGTCGTGATCTATTAAAATTTTATTTTATTTGTGATTTATTAAAATTTTATTTTATTTCTACATACGTGACTTTACCGAAAGAACCAATGAGTATAGTAATTTCTGCAGCCATGAAAGCTTAAATTCTAGATCATATAGCTCTTGTTTAGAAGCGACCTGGCAACAAATGATAGTGGATTATCGTGTAGATATTTATATCAGACAAATACTCTAAACGCATGCTTATAAATGTGGAGGGAAAACCCGGAGAAACATCCACGTGACCACGGGGAGAGAGAGACACGCAAACTCCAAATACTCAAGAGTCAGTGTTGGGATCGAACCCACAACCTCCTGTATACCAGTCGAGGAAGTAAACATCTCGCTACCGTGGCGCCCCTAATAAACGTGTGCAATGCTGCTATTGTAGCACAGGCGCGGGGGGCGCGCTCACGGCGGCGGAGGGCACGGCGAAGGCGAGGCTGAAGAGCATGAGCAGCGGCACCGTCTCCCGCGCCGGCTCCACGTAGGGCAGGCTGAGGCCGCGCTCGTGGCACTGGAACCCGACGTGCGCAGGCACGAACACGTTGGTCAGCTCCAGGAAGTAGAGCGACACCACGGCCGCGGCGATGATCGGCACCTTTGGGAGACAACGGTAAACGTTGAGGCTGTCAGGGGTAGTAGTAATACTAATAGTAATGACGATGACGATGGTTATTTGTTTTTGACAAAGCTCCTTTTCCACTGCGGAGTTTTTCACGTGACAAGCGACTTACATCACATCTCATCTCAACCATGGGAAAGGGCACCCATGGCACGAGGTGACTCAGCATGTGGCCTGCAAGCGGGGATTGTGAGCGAGGATTGTGAGCGAGGATTGTGAGCAGTGGTTCCTGTTTCTGTGTGTGTAATCCCAGTTGAGTAATTGCAGTGACATTTGTTGACTTTGGCAAATTTGGACAAAGACGCGAACACATAATGACCGACTAGTTGTGAAGCAGGCGAATACACCCACAGCAGTATTAACCAGGGCAGCCTGCCGGATTCGAACCACGAACCTCTGCAACGAGCGGCAAACGCGCGACCGCTGGTCCACCGCGTCACTGCCCCAGTGTGACACTTGGTCAGAGAGATGGACCTCCTTATAATCGTTTGGCACAGAGTGAATGCATCGAACCGAATGTTACGAGGTGGTCATTCCTCACCACCGTTCGTCGACTGTGTTTTTATGACCGCGAGTAAGGCATCTCAGGGTGACTTCATGTGTTAATGCTCTACTATACCCACCACCAAACCCGGACACGTTTCTCAGCCAGCCCAGGTTTATTAAAACCATGCAGTCCTCTGCGGTAAAATTCGAAAGCAATAAAGCGAGTAAGGCATCTCAGGGTGACTTCATGTGTTAATGCTCTACTATACCCACCACCAAACCCGGACACGTTTCTCAGCCAGCCCAGGTTTATTAAAACCATGCAGTCCTCTGCGGTAAAATTCGAAAGCAATAAAGCGAGTAAGGCATCTCAGGGTGACTTCATGTGTTAATGCTCTACTATACCCACCACCAAACCCGGACACGTTTCTCAGCCAGCCCAGGTTTATTAAAACCATGCAGTCCTCTGCGGTAAAATTCGAAAGCAATAAAACCACCAGCTCACGGGAGAAATCAATTCCTGCCACTCCAGCACAGATGCCAATTCCTGGACAGTCCGAAATAAAGATGGACAGGGGGCAACCCTACGCTGTACGAAGTGAAAACAGACTGTGTTTGTAAAAGCAAAATAACCGAATGAAATTGTCACAATTAATTAAAACATCTGCAGGATATCACACGTGGGCTCGGCAAAGCGAACCAAGGCTGTTAAACACGTGGTTACTCGTCTGGGTTTCAAAATGAAATGGCTGTCTTTACAAAATCAATAACTGGGTGAGGATGTGGCTTTACTTGGTGGTTTAAAATTTAATTGGTGTAGATGTTAACCTCTGTTGGTGTGTGTACAATGCTCGGCTGATGTACAGTGCGTGCCCGTGGCTGTAATTTCGCACTCCAAAACGAGACACGACGGTCGTCACGACGCGGCCGCCATGGCACAGCGTGAACGGAGCCCACCAGTTAGAGCGCAGTATAAGATTATTATTATAGTTAACTCAATTGGCGATACCTTCTCTGGCGCATGCTTCAGACACACAGTCATTGACAAACAAATACATGGAACATGACCTGAAAAGTTTGGAAAGAAGCACGAAAGAAAGACGCATGCCGGAAACGGGAAAGTGACGAGTGAATCGGAGAATGTGCGCAGGTCCATGGCGGCGGCATCGTTCGATTGTTGCGAACAGTAAAAGTCCGCGTGGCCCTTCAAGCGTGGGGAAGAGAACAGCCGTGCCGGGCCGTACCAAGAGCGATCCTGGCACGGCCCTGCTCTGATTTCTAATGGTCGCGACAATGCAGCAATTCAGGGGGATGCATTGGGGATGCTTTGCAGGCCCCGTGTTGAATTATGCGGGAATCCAATGTCCCGAGAAAGAGCCATGCACACAAGGAAATCACTGACAACCTCAACAGTCACTACATATTACAGGCACCTCATGGCTCCGCTGGTGGTGATAGTCATCGTCGACGATGACGATCTCAATGTGATCCACTAACCCCACGTCCAAGTCACTGAGTTACAGGCGCGCACATCAAACCCAGCTCATACTTCATAGAGGCCATGAATGCTCAGTGTGGCAGGAAGCCATTGGCAGAGGCACGATGTGGGACGTGTTTATTGCTGTGGGAAGGTCCAGGGCCATAAATTCGGTTAGCTGGATTTTTTTAACGCTTTGTTCTCTGTAACCCCATTTTCATTGCATCAACAGACATTATGTTAAAGTCCCATTTTTGAGAAACTCATTAAGTCATCGGCCGAGTAGAGCAGTCCTTTATAGTGCCCTGCTCGGCAATGTGGATATTCTGCGTTCATGTGTTCATGTCTCAAAACAGCACGCACTAAGCAAAACTATTTTAAATCCGATTCACCCCATGCCCCCAACACCGACTCCATGAGCTGTCATAAATTGGGGACGCGATTCCAGTCAAGAATCAACGTCTTTGTCTCGTTGTGTTCCATCTCATTTGTACAATTTATTTTGCTCTATTGGCCTCAACATAGAAATGAGCGTTAAAATGACATAAACAAAAACGTGTTCTTACGGACACGGGTCAACGTTTTCTATTGTGGGCATTGAGTATCGAAGGTGAGCCATGAACCGATGCAATTCTCTGGTTTCCTGCTGGCTTTGCCTGTAAATGCATCAATAGCCAATCGCATTGCTGTTGTACAAATGGGTCCGCTGCCTTGCTGGTATTTTAGACACACAGTGAGAGTAAACCCCGACGTGAGTTGAACTGTGTGCGCAATGCTAACGACGGTGGGAATCTAGCGCAGCAGTGCTGCACAAACACTGCGAGCGGTGGCGCTGCAGTTGAATACAATTTATAAGGAGGTGACATCAATCAATGTTCACAACTGCTCTTGACAGACGATACAAACCCTGCCGTGCGCCATGCGTGCCAGCTCCGTCACGCGGCGGCACCGCCCCGAGAAGTGACTGCAGAGGGGGGGGGGGTGGCGAGTGGCCCACGGCGGCGAAGAGCTCGCGAGGGCATGCAGCCGCACCGTCGCTGGGGTCGTGGGGTCAACTCTGGGCAGCCGCCCGTGACGAGTCCTCGTTCTCAAGGGCAATGAGTTGATGCAAAGGTGGAAAATCAGAGGCTGCCTCTCTCCAGCGTGCGACCATGGATATGAACTCCAGACCATAGATCACGTCACCTCGTACTGACCGAAACGTACACGTGAAGGCCGTGGGTGGGTGGATGGGTGGCATAGGTGGGTGGGTTGTTCCATGGAAGCCGTACGCAAGGAAAGTGGATTGTCACCAAGGAATGTACAAAAACAACTACAATAACATTAAGCGTGTAACTAAATGTTACATCTGTTCTTTAAGGTAAGAGTTGTTGCAGCAATAGTGCAATGGACACAGCATGACACAATCGTTGGTAACAGTGTTTGGTCTGAGTGTCATGCGACGGACGCTCGTCAGGGCATATGCCCTCGAGGGTGCACCCCCTGGTGGGGGTCGGAGGTCACAGAAGCGACTGCTGCTATCCTCGAGGCCTTGGGGGGGGGGTCCCCTCGTTTCTGGCCGCCTCAAGAGATGTCCGAACATGCACCAAAAACATCTTTTTCAAAATTCAAACAGCTCTGGAAGCACCGTAAACTGTCGCTGCTGCAAGCCGTGAGCAGCGATAGTCTCCTTCCCGCTGCCTGGTGAACTTTAATCAATCGCTAAGTAGCGGCTCATTTCCAACTGCCTGGAAACTGGCAACGGCGATTCCCAGCCTACGTAAATGGAGACAAATTGTCAACTTCAAACTATCGACCGCTTCTGGTGCTGTCTGTCGTCTTGCAGAGTTGTGTAAATGTAAATGGCCAACAACTGGAATGACACACTCAGCGTCTACAAGGCTCTCAAGCTTCCTTGCCACATCGATGCAGCCCCATTGAGAGGAAGGGTGTGGGGCGAGCTCAGGCACACCAGAGGAGTCCTAATACCACGTGACACGATGCAATGCCTGACCTTCCTGTGGATGACATAATCAGTAAACGATCTCACAGGTTGTAAATGTAGATTACCATCTTATTATTGTAATTATTATCGTAGATATGGTTAGACAGTTAAACTCAATGTCGAGATCAACTGCACCAAAACGGGCAAAGGCCTCATTGAATGAAAATATTCCATCAAGTCTGGCATCCTGCATATTATGGCAATAGTTGTCACAACTGGGAATAATTGTGGCAGTAAGAATACAAGCGAACAATTATAGAGCTTGACTTCTTCAAGCGGTGTTAGATTACAAATCTAAAGTCAAGTCATGTTAAACTGACATTTGCAATGTTGCATTGTGGGAAGGATCACACGCGCCTGAAATTGTAATGTGTTGGCGTGAATTATCCGCTTCACCGGCTTTATTTAATGAGCACAGATAATCTGTTTTTCCAAATGCGGGCAAAACAACGGTAATGATAGGGAGGTCACCGAACCCAGCGGTGGCTGTGGCGCTGCGCCAGACTCACAGCCACGATGCCTTCAGTTGACATTCAGATTGAGGGTTCCCTCTGGCTATCATCATAATTGGTTGAACCAAGTCTAGCTGCTTATAAGACACTGAAATGTCAAAACTGGTCCACAGTTTGATTGTATTCCTGATCAAATAATGCACACACAGAATTCCGTGTGGCTGATGGGAGGCACAGTTGTGAAGGCGGTGTACTGTCTGCTTGTTTATGTTATGAAGTTGCAAGGGATTGCCTGTGGGTTTAGCTTACTGCGGTGGTGAGCCGTTGGCTTGGAGTTCACCTTGTAAGCATTTACACCCAGCCAGTGCCATTATTACTGATGAGGGGAGAGGCACTGAACAGACTAAGAAAGTTCACAGTAATGGACAGAGTAAAGCTGATCAAGAATCAATGGAAACCCAAGTCTAAAGTGTTTAAAGTTGTAATTGGGGAAGATTAGTATTGTGCATCGCAGTAGTGATTGGCATAAAGTGGAGGCAAGGAGATGGTTAACGGGAGTCAAAGTAAAACAGACTTCGAGCTACTTACTGTGGCTTAAACAAATCAGTGGTTTCTTACTCAAATGAACATTGAGGCAGTTTTCATCTCCTGTTGCATGCCTGAGCCAGCGGTGGAAATCCTTCATTCTTATGACAGGGGTGAGTCTATCCATAGTACAACCATTGTTGACTTACCACCAAGTGATTCTTATTTTAATACTCCAGAGGGATGATGGGTTGAGTCAACACTTAGCCAGGATTTAAACTCGCAAAATTATGATTTTGAGATGCTCACTCTACTGCTGAGCCATCTGGCTAAATTCCTGTGGCTTTATGGCTATATCAGTAAAAAAAAAACGCAACACATTCATTATTAATACCGCCACGTGACGGGAGCAATTAGAATCGACTGATGTTAAAGACACTCGCCTTTTGTCAGAGCAGAAGGCAACACTGGTACTCTGAGAACAGTGTGAAGATTTTAATAAACAAATAGCCACTTTTAATTGACATATTAACCGATTTCTGTCAGACATTGTGTAGCTAGATTAAATCTTATAACATCAAAATTGTAATCTAACCTAAATTATCCATCATATATTATTCAAATGAGAAGTAACTCTTTTCAAAATGCTAAATATCAAGGCCACATGAACATATCATGTTTAATTGAGGACAACCAGTTCACAGCAGTGATATATGCCGTGACAGACATGGGTTCTGTCTTGAAGCAGGGCAAGCAGCGCCGCCGCTCGAGAGAGAAGATTAAACAGCGGAGTATATCCCCCTGGGAGATGCAACGGTCAGCACACGGGACGCGCGACGCATAGGCCCCCGATTCCATCTCCTGCCGTGGCAGTTGAACCCGTGACGCGAGGTGACGCGAGGTGACGCGAGGTGGCGAATCTCTCACCTCCACGAAGTAGAAGCAGGGCAGCGAGAGGTCGTTCTCCCTGCCCGGGCGGCCCCTGCCCTTGTCCTTTGCGGCCATCGCTGCGGCGCTCTTTGGCAGCTGGTGCGGGAGCCGACGGGATCTCCGGGAGCCTCCTACCCTCGGCGTGCGCTCCTCCGCATCGACTCTTTCTCGCAAATGTTCACGCGATCGACACCCCGGCCGGACCGCGTGCACCTGTGCCGTTTGTCGAATTCAGGACGCCATTGACAAGTTCAGTTCACCTGCAAGGCAAGAACGGAGCGATGGTAATGTGCGTGCAAAGCACGTTCCGTGCACATCGCCAAAACACACGCGACCGGGAGTATTTTAATGGTGTGCTTCAGGTGGAAAGGAATCATGTTTCAAAGTGTATTTTTATTCTAGTTTCTCTGCATGGATTCACAATTACTGTGAAGAATGGTAACACCTGAAAGGCACGCATCTATATATTTTAATCAGTAAAAAATATCTTCCATTGTTATCGCGATCATGCAATCAGCATCGCGCCAGGAAACAAATAATGAATTCACGTGTCTCCTACAGCATTGCGACCCTTCACGTTAGAAAACGAACCATGGAAGCGGATATCCCAGAGCTACCTCTGAGATCCCTTCAAGTCACCTCTGGTCCACACACCGAAGGGGCAATATTGTTCCCAACTGCTGCGCACTGAGATGCATTCTCGTCACACGCCAGGCACACAGATATTTGACATTCTCAGAGCTGTAATGTAGCCAATTAGGGTCAGGGTTTGCCAATTAAGCGCAGAACCAAATTTAACGTGGTAGTATTAATGGACCCATCGCAGTGATTGGTGACCAGGCTGAGACCATCGACTAAGTCACACAATGTTGCCCATCTTAAACTCTGGATGTCAGCGGTGCCAACCTTAGCGCTCTGACCTCTCAGCCAACCAGCCACCTCCAAAGCAGCCCCATCCTAGAGACGTCAAAGTGGGCGACGCTCCCCGTCATCGCCCGTGGGCAGGTGTCATCACTCGGCGTGGCGGTTTCATCACCTCGTGTTTCTCGTGCATCTCCACACAGAACAGAAGGTGGCCACTGAAATGTGTGCTCTGCAGAATCACAGAGCTAAGGGTTAAGTGCAGATCCTGAAGCCCTCAGGTGTTATGTTTACGGACAGATATCGCCCGTGATAAACATATGTCTCTCAGGCATCAGGTGGGTATCTTGTCTCATCTCCACAGAGCCACAGCGCTAAACATAGAGTCGCGATTATAAACCAGAGCCAAGCTGGGCCATTCCAGCAACATCTGGCACGACCCTGGCTGAGAAGTGAATTCACAACCACTGAGAGGAGCAGCCCAGCACGGCTCACGTCTCGTCCCATCGCTTCAAGGGCCGTGCAGCTTCCTCAGCCTCAGTCCCTGTCCTCCCCAGCTGAAGGAGAGAGAGAGGGGAGCAAGCTTCCGATGCCCACGTGTATTTCTAAACCATCGCGATTGAAAGCGATTCAAGTTAAATGTGTCGGGGCCCTCACGGTGGGTGCGAGCGGACGCAGCCTGCGGGCCCCACAGCCAGCCCGTCGGAACGGCGAGGCGAGGGTGGCGCCGCTTCTTCACCTTGCATGCCCCCAGGGCTTCAGGCCTCACGAGATCTTCTCTGGAACGCTGCCAGGCCGACTTGGAGTGGTAGACAGGGATGATGGGCATCAGGCACGACGACCAAAGTGCAATATACTGCATAATGCGCCCATAATGGATAGTGGCCAAATTAATACGCAAACACTTTGCCTTCCCAAATCTCTCTCAGCAGAAGATCAATAATCATCGCGCATCCCATCAGCCGCACAGACATCCAGGAGCGCGTCATTTCAGCCGCATTGGTTCAACACAAGCAGAGGCACGAGCCGTCACGACATCCACTCCCTCGTCAGCGATGGGAGGCGGTGAAGGCTCTGATGAACCCATTCCCTAACTCCATCACGACGAGGACGAGTGCAGCTGTTTGTTCACCACCCTCACCAGTGTCCAGCCACACACAGTCGCCGTGGCGGGTCACGCTTTCCTGAAAGCTCTCCTCGTGAACACGATGGACACCGGACCTCTGACCTGGCTGTTAAAACTCTGGTATTGTACAAGATTTACAATTCAAACACAGCCCCTAAATTCCAACCTCAGTGGCATATCTACAGACGTCTAAATAGTTGCATTCAGGTACTTTTCCGAACAGGATAAGAACACTTGGTACAGTATTAGCAACCGCACTGTCGTTTACAAGCAACTCTAGGGAGCTAATGGGATTTGGCGGTATCACATTACGAGCCATCGTGTAACCCTCGATCATTACAACAGCCACATCTCACATTACACGACCAACGTTCTCAATTCATACCGTCTGCTGTGGCACATGCATCGTCGGAAACTTGGACACCGACAAAGAAAAGTGGAACAAAAGCCGAGCAATGTGCAAAGAAGCATGCAGAGACGCGTGCTTGGAATTAAGCGGAGAGACGGAAAGCGGCACGTGTGGATGAGAGGGCACTCGAGTTACAGACGCCCTGATGAAAGTTTTAAACCCAAAGTGGTCGTGGGCAGGAGACGTCGCGAGGAGGGATGGTGGGGCCCACGGGACGAGCGGGGAGACGGAGTGGCAGCCGGAGGAGCGCGCGGCCTGCAGGACGACCCCGTGGAGATGGAGCAACGAGATCGCGGGCGGGAGAGCGACGGGTTGTTGCATCGCGCGACCGTGAGGAGGGAGTGGCGATGATTTGCACTTTTAGATCGAGATTTACAACTCAATTATTGAGAACTGCTTTTCGTGTTGAGTTCGTTGTCCTCCCCCCGCACCGTTGGCTCCGTATGATGCGATATTATTTCAACATACATCTATAGGTTTCAACCTTGCACATGATCACAATGGGAATCCTACACAAATCTGCTGACAATAGAATCCCACTACCTCGCTAGGCATGTGCTTCCGAGTTCATCACCCCTTCAGGGTCGATAAAATTGAGTATAGTACCACTATGGATAGTCTTGCTTCCGGCATAGTAATGTGGAATTACCATCACCGACTTAGGGTTGTAAAGAGTGAAAGAGCACATGTATCGACTCCTCGATTAACATCAATCCGCAAATCTCAGGGCACATGCATCAACGTTTTAATGTTTGCTTTCAACTTAAATGCAAATGACGCGCGGCTGCATTGCGGCCGATGGGAGGGGAACCAAATGGCGACGAGACGGAAGACCGAGAGGCGGTGGCAAGGAGCCATGGCCCTGGATGTTGAATATTTACCGAATCATCCGGGTTGGCATTGCCACGGCTCCAGTGAATAACGAGACGACCACTCACTCTAGCTGCTGCTGCTGCTGCGTTGTGCTTGAAGCAGAGCTGTGAATATCTCCGTGGTCGACATCATCATCATCATCCTCCTCCTGCTCAAGAGCACCGTTACCATGGGAACCCGACATTGACCCTGCACGAGGCAAGCGTCTTGCTGCTGCCGGCGGAAGCAGCCGGCAGCACCCTCACGACTGCCCTGCAGGATTGCCTTCAACGTACTTATTCACGTTTACCTAACATTGCAGAACGTCTTTGTTAAAATCGCGACCACGACCATGCTGAACGTCACTGCTTGACACACGCGCATTTTGCGTGAAATAAAAACACATCGAGACGGAGGCTTCGTCACGCGTCTTGTTTGCAATATGGGCGCGATCTGTCGCTGTACATTAAGAAAACGTCCTTACGAATCCTGTTTTAAACCAGCCATCCTCGACGCTTCACGGCGCCGATCTAAACGAGTTAATTTAACCACGAAATGAAATAACCGCCACCTCAGCAGCAGCAGCAGCGGCAGTGGCTGCTGCTGGTGGGTGCGGCGTTGCGGGCTGCACAGCTGGGCGCGCGTGCCCGGGGGGCGGGGGGGGGCTAGGGGGGGCTAGGGGTGGGGGCTAGGGGCTATGGGGGGATGGGGGAGGGGTCGAAACGACGGCGATGTCTGAACATTGTCAATTCACTGCCGTGGGTCGTTGGCCATTCTTCATCGTGCTGGGCAACACTGGTTGCGGATTGTGGGGAATCTGGATGCGTGGGTGCATAGAAGTGCAGTGCAAAAGCGGATGTTGCGGCAGCCCTATGGCAACCTCTGTGTGCATGTGCGGTGGTCACCCATCCAAGCACAATCCAGGCGCAGCCCTGCTTAGCTTCCCAGAGCAGACGGGATCAGGCACATTCCGGGCGGTTTGGTCACAGGCTCTTCACGTAAATATTGTATCATTAACGTCATGTTATTAATACTGCACCGTATGAAACTGAAAATTTAACATTTCTGACATGCGCAACATGCAACGTGAGCGAAACGTTCTCTTCAGCACGAAGATACAAACAAGAATAATCTTGTTACGCCTCGAAAGTCGAGATGAGACATCTCCCCCCTTGCTATCTCACTGACTTGAGCCCCCACGGTGAACCCGGTCCGAACCCATCCGCCCGTGCGCGTCGCGAGCCCTGGGAGGGGTTGCGAGGAGCAGCGCGGAACGCGGCGGCCGCTGGGAGCTCCCCCAGGGGCAGGCAGGGCCGCTGCCTCACTGGGACTGCATCCGAGTACTGTAACAATCAAATTGGCTGGAGATATCTGATTGGTCGGATCAGTAGTATCACGAGATCATGAGAAGTTGGTCAAATCATGCGCTATCACGCAATTTCACCGCGGGGATTAAGAAAAGTAAATGTCAATATTTAGTATTTACGTGATTGTCTGACCGTTTGCACATAATATGCATAAAGTGTGAATAAAATTCGCCATGAAGTGTGAATAATTCGTCTGCGAAGAGCACAATTCGTGGCGTGCGCGAGAAGAATCAATTAGATTCGATGACTCGACGCATCGTCACGTGACTAACGAGCAGCCGCCGGTCACTTGAGGGCTCGGGCCCCTTGGGGCTCCGGCAACAATCACTGCCACCACCTCGCTCCCTCCTCACCCCCTCCCCCACGTGGAGCCCAATTACTGGACTGTACTACCAACTGCACCGCGCCCCAGGCCCTCAATGCATTTTGCTGCCTGTCCACGACCACTGGAAGCCAGACCCGGGCCGTGCTTGGCCACTGCATGAAGAGCCCAGCACGGCTCATGTCTGGTCCCAATGCCTTGAGAGCCACGCGGCTCCGTGGAGCCGCGTGGCTCTCAACGTCTCGTAAAGACGATGTTTTGCAACAAGCTGCAACACGTGCTTAAACAAGTTGATCGTTGGCAGCGGTGCGCAACAAAAAATAACTTAGCACATTCGTTAATAACACTGTGGCCTGAAATTGAAAACTAAATAATCGGTCACGTTTCAGGAAATGGCCCTTCTTCATAGCATATAAAAACGAACTCATCAAAGACACAAACGTAAACAGTGGTCACTTGTCACAATATCACCAGGAAAGCAAACCATAAACAGTGAATCATAATAGAATAAGTTGTGTTCAATAACTGATTAACACCATTGCAAATCAATGTACTTTATTTCACCGTGCAGGAATCCATGATTCCAGTTGATTCTTGTCAGGGAGATCTCGGTAGCCAGAGTACAAGTCAGCAGTTGTCACCCGGCCGCTCTGGGCACTGCAGACGTCAGCTCCCCGCGCGAGACGCACGCTGCTCAGCAGGGTGCCAGGCGAGGTCCTCGTTGGGATGCGCCACGTCAGCGGAGGAGAATCAATTTCTCCGACGTCTCTTTTTACGGCGATAGTGCCCAGTGACTATTGCCAAGAATGTAGGGGAGTTAAATAATGAATACGACGATCATGAATCAGCGTTTTATGATGCCTAAGACGGGTATTATAATTCAACAGTTTCTCGCGCGAGGGTTTAGGCACCGGGCATCTGACAAGAGACAAGAATAATGCGAACCCGGCCAAGACTCCGAGGAGTCGGGGCATGGCCTTGCCGCAAGAACCCTCGTGAGAAGACTCGCTACGCTAATGCCACTCTCCTTGGGCTATGGAAAAGCGATAGCTATTCAAATAAGTACGAAATGTTTCCCTGTAATGTAAAACACCACTCAATAAATATTTTAAGCACATAAACCAGGGAGGCTCGTAAATTTCCAGCAGAGCTCCTTATATTTATGGCGTCGAGTTTTAACGCTCGGCGGCCGCTGATAGCGCGGTCGCCGTGAGCGTGGCGCGGGGAAGAGTCGGCGGCACTCCTCAGTGCCGCCGACTCTGTGGGCTCGGCCCCCCATTCGGGTTTGTGACGCCGGCCACTGGGAACTCGGCTTCAACCAGACATGTCAGCACTTACCGACAAGTTGTGATACGAAAGTAGAAAGTAATGGCGTCACTTTTATCAGCGGCACTGGCGACACGATACAATTGCATTGGACACATGTGTAAACAACAAATGTAACTCGGCCACTTTCACACATCGACCCAGCTGGGAACTCCATCGAGGGAGTGCCGACTGCTCCACGCGCTGCGCACACGCGCGGACAGCGAGGCCGCGAGCCGCTGTTGTCGCGAGCCCTTTTGTCCGTGAAGGGAATTTTGTTGATATTTAGACAGAACCTGACGGGGCCATTTTAATGAATCATGGAAAACAAATCACGGGGGAATAAATGCTGATTTCTCCTAACTTCTCCATCAGCATGCCAACCTAGCTACCACGACTGTCTACGGTCTCATAATCCCTCACCGACAGTCTCAAGATGACCCACAGTGCCACTGTGGGACTCTTCACCCACACACAGAAATGAGACTTCATCTCCACAATACTCCGATCCACCCGCCGGCTCCATATCTCAGTCCAGGTCAACGAGAAGATTTCCATTGTTGTCTTCAAGATCCTCCATGGAAAAGCCTCTCCTACCTCTCCCTTCTCATCTCACTCTCCTGCCCGTGCTCACCCCTCAAACAATCTGACTTCTTCCAATAGATGCTCCAAGTCAACCTTCACTGAGTGTGATGACTTCATAGTCTAAACTTCCTTCCCCCAGCGCTCCGTGCCGTTGACTCCCTGCCTCTGTTTAAGTCCAGGCTCGAGACATGATCTCTTCTCTGTCTATGACGGTCACTTCTCTTTTAGATAATATACACAACGTGTACACCGTGCAGTAGATACACACAACGTGTACACCGTGCAGTAGATACACACAACGTGTACACCGTGCAGTAGATACACACACGTGTACACCGTGCAGTAGATACACACAACGTGTACACCGTGCAGTAGATACACACAACGTGTACACCGTGCAGTAGATACACACACGTGTACACCGTGCAGTAGATACACACACGTGTACACCGTGCAGTAGATACACACAAAGTGTACACCGTGCGGTAGATACACACAACGTGTACACCGTGCAGTAGATACACACCACGTGTACACCGTGCAGTAGATACACACACGTGTACACCGTGCAGTAGATACACACAACGTGTACACCGTGCAGTAGATACACACACGTGTACACCGTGCAGTAGATACACACAAAGTGTACACCGTGCGGTAGATACACAAAACGTGTACACCGTGCAGTAGATACACACAACGTGTACACCGTGCAGTAGATACACACAACGTGTAGACCGTGCAGTAGATACACACACGTGTACACCGTGCAGTAGATACACACACGTGTACACCGTGCAGTAGATACACACAACGTGTACACCGTGCAGTAGATACACACAACGTGTAGACCGTGCAGTAGATACACACACGTGTACACCGTGCAGTAGATACACACACGTGTACACCGTGCAGTAGATACACACAACGTGTACACCGTGCAGTAGATACACACAACGTGTAGACCGTGCAGTAGATACACACACGTGTACACCGTGCAGTAGATACACACACGTGTACACCGTGCAGTAGATACACACAACGTGTACACCGTGCAGTAGATACACACAACGTGTACACCGTGCAGTAGATACACACACGTGTACACCGTGCAGTAGATACACACAACGTGTACACCGTGCAGTAGATACACACAACGTGTAGACCGTGCAGTAGATACACACACGTGTACACCGTGCAGTAGATACACACACGTGTACACCGTGCAGTAGATACACACAACGTGTACACCGTGCAGTAGATACACACAACGTGTACACCGTGCAGTAGATACACACAACGTGTACACCGTGCAGTAGATACACACAAAGTGTACACCGTGCAGTAGATACACACAACGTGTACACCGTGCAGTAGATACACACAACGTGTACACCGTGCAGTAGATACACACAAAGTGTACACCGTGCAGTAGATACACACACGTGTACACCGTGCAGTAGATACACACACGTGTACACCGTGCAGTAGATACACACAAAGTGTACACCGTGCAGTAGATACACACAACGTGTACACAGTGCAGTAGATACACACACGTGTACACCGTGCAGTAGATACACACACGTGTACACAGTGCAGTAGATACACACACGTGTACACCGTGCAGTAGATACACACACGTGTACACCGTGCAGTAGATACACACACGTGTACACCGTGCAGTAGATACACACAACGTGTACACAGTGCAGTAGATACACACAACGTGTACACAGTGCAGTAGATACACACACGTGTACACAGTGCAGTAGATACACACACGTGTACACCGTGCAGTAGATACACACAACGTGTACACCGTGCAGTAGATACACACACGTGTACACCGTGCAGTAGATACACACACGTGTACACCGTGCAGTAGATACACAC